TCTCACTTGGATTACAAACTATTCTCACTTGGATTACAAAATATATACACAAAATATATACATGTACTATACATTTGTATATTCTCACTTGGATTACAAAATATTCTCACTTGGATTATAAAATATATACATGTATATATTCTCACTTGGATTACAAACCCTAACATTCTAATATTAATTCCACAAGTGAAGTGCAAGAATCCAACTTATTAATTTCAAATGCCCCGCCGGGGCTAAGGTTCGAGTGGAAATGCCCAACCCCCGGGATGTGCTTTACAGGAAAATGGCTGGGCGAGGGGGATGGCACACTTGGATGTGGCTGATGCATTAAAAGTCCTGTGCTTATTCCAGACTGCTTGTCAAATATTTACTTGCTAGAAGTAGAAATTTACTCTGACCGCTGGATGAAGAAGACATTAAATAAGTACTGGTCAATAAACAGAAATGTATTTTATTTCATAGTATTACAATTTTATTTTTATACTATAAAAATAAAATAAAATATAAACATGCAGCATAGAATATGCAAATTCGAGGCAAAATTATTGTTGAATCGGTTTATTTATAGGATTTATAACAAATAGCAACTATAAAAGTTTGTACCTTGTCTTCACATCGTAATAGCCAATGCTTTTAATTTTACATATTTTAGAATCAGTTCCTTTCCTGGTAACTGCATTTCTAAATGAAATCATCGTGAGTAGTGAGTGCTGAGCAGGCTGTTTTACTATAAACAAATTTTAGGAATTGTTAACAACTTTAAAAAATATATCGTTGCACATTCGGTCACAGTCGGAAAAATGTTCATAGTATGTTGTACCGTCGTTTGCAACTAACGATGAACAGTCGCTTATAAAAACATTCGCGTGATTAGAATCTTCAATGTTTGTCAAGAACAACAACACTTAATTGTTGTTTCCCATGTGTGCAATAAAAATAAGTAACAAAACTTTGTCTGAACTTGTTGGGCTAGAGACCTACTGGAAACTTTTACAGGCTTTTTAATGAGAATAGAGAATGTTTTATCTGCAACTGTTCACCCTTAGTTGCCACCGACGGTATTTGACAGCATAAAATTGCCTGTGGCTGGGATAACTGATATAAATAAAATACAGTCTGGTTATACTGACTTGAGCGTGTCATGACAAACTCTTTATTGGAAAATTGTGAAGAAATAGTCGAATATAGAGGGTCGAATATCATACTTAAACTTGTATAGCTACAGTATCATTGGTACATAGCGTTGCGAAGACAAGCCTTTGCTTTAATACCTTTCGCTTCAGCAGTCTTTTTTTTCCATACTTCTCTACGCTTTCCCAGGCGAGCTTCTCTTTCCTCAGCAGTCTCCTCGAGCAAACGTTGTCGTCTTCGCTGGCTCCCTCCTTTTCGCGAGACGTTCGGCTTTCTTGTCGTTTCCTTGCTGCTCTTCATTTGGCTCCATACAGTAGTCCATATCTTTTCAATTGGTATTTGATACCATAATTGTTTTATTAAACTCTTGATAGAGCAAATTGCTTTGAAAGCTGTCAAAGTTTTTTGCAAACGTACAAAATACTGCAGTGCAAAAAGCAAAATATTTTCATGAAGTATCTGTCAGTTGAAGTCGTCATTCGTCGTACAACAACAAATTTTAAATTTGACCAATCAGTGTTCGCTATTCATGACAGTCCGCCATATTTTTGAGATCAGTGAAGATGACCACCCACCGAAACACGCACAGTGACCCACGCCCGCGATATTTGATGAACTTCAGACTTCCCTAATGCTTTCGTTTCCCCGGGGGTAAATAGCCGGGGGGAATTAGTACCCTCGCACGGCGCTTCGCGCCGCCGGCTCGGGGAAAATTATTGTGTTACCATGACAACTGCCTTTAGATACTTCATTTTCGGAAAACACAATGGTTTTGTCAGCAAGGCGAGGGTTTCTGCATGCATGTATTTTCTAGTAAGTAGATGAGTGTTTAGCATTAATGTTGCCCACGGAGCCTCAATATTTTATCAAAACCTGAAAAAATCATGTCTTATAGCATACATTGCACTTTCACACGTACTAGTAAATTACGATCTGGCAATCTATTCTAGATCTGGCATCTTCACTCTATTTGATTAATCGCATAAAGCTAGCCTGTAAATTATTTACACACGCACTGTCACAAAATAATTTTGGTGTGCATCGTTTAGAAAAAAAATTTCCAAAATTTATTGTTCGAGCTCCTGTCTGGACTTAGAGTGCATCCGTACGCTTTCATGCACATGCATGGAGGCATCCCTTGTTCAAAACAGTTCAAAACTTACTATAGTTAATTTAGAATCTTTGGCCAAGCGGTGAGTAAATATATGATTGTTTCGGTTTGTGTAATGTTTTGACGGCACTTGACCCCCGTTCGAAAGGTTATATTGTGAGGATTTCAATGGTGGCATTTATTTATAAGGGGGGTAAATACTCGCCGAGATATTTATTTTAGAAAAATTAAATCGAAATGTAATGCGAAACCGGCCTGTCGAGAAAGAGTTAAAACTATAAATAATCGTAAGTCTCACCTTTCCAAGACTCCGTAGCATAACCACCGAAGATGAAGTTACCAACTTTTATTATGTTCACGGTTGGTTTCTTGAAATCACAGTTTTCATGGAAGGTACTGACTGTCCATCCATGCTTAGTTGCACGCCAACAGAGATTCCAAATAGTGCTTGATGTAATGCCGGTCCAAGAAATTAATCTTGTTAGAAAGTCAGCTGGTTCTCCAGACAATATGGCTGAATCGACAGAAGGCAGCGGGACTAAATGAGAATAAGAAACATGCTGAAATTCTATTGGATCCACATATTTTTTTTTATCTACTGTATTTTTGTATCTATAGCTAAGGCATGGAAAATTTTGATACTTTATATCTTAAAATTATAATTATAATCATGCATGTAGGCTACAGTACATGAAATATTTTTCATGTTAAATATTAAGTCAAATAATTTCAAGTCTGCTCTTGAAAAACAAAATTGTTGTAAGAGCCTCGTGAGTTTTCTTCCTTCGGACTCATGCAATTTTGATCATCTTTAAAAATCTCACCAGTGCATGTGTTTTTCCAAATTACTGAATTCAACGAATGCTAATTATTATACAGTAGACAGTTTGATGTTGACGTGGCAGCACCAGAACGAACATGCGTAAACATTTTTAGCAGCTTGATATGAGTTCTTGTTAGTTGATAAAACAACTGGATTCTCATTCTGTTTCATGTTTATCTTGCGCAGCAATCAATCAATTACTTCGACAACTCACCAATTTTGCAGAGATCTCCACTGTATTGCTTCGAACACTCGCACTTGTAAGGATCAGAACCAGGTCCATCTTTGAGATCAATGATTGTCTTTCCCAAATTTTGACAATTCTTCATTTTATGACATGGAACATGCGAAGGGAATACTGTATGTTGGAATTCATAAGACATAATTTTTGTGAGCTTTGATTTAATGTAAAATTTAACCTGAATTGCTTCGTAAAATGTTTTGAAATGTTCATTTTAATATTAAACTAAAACTGCTTTCTCCGATAGACTGTTTTTACTTTATAAAACAAAATAAGTTCAAATTGTTGAGTAATTTCGGTTCGGTTTTCAAATTAATTTGCTCTCCAAATTAAACAGGGTAATATAGCAAATTTTTAATACAGTTTCATTGGAATGGAAAGCAGTGCATGTTTTACGCAATAAATTAAAGCAACAAAATTCATAAACATTAAACATTCAAAACAAACATGCCCTATATTTCATGATTTCGCACAGTAAATCAATTCTTTTCATTTCTTTAAACAAAAAATGCTTCGAAGCTCTTTGTGTGAAACGTGATTTTCCAAACATATGCTTTTGAAAATTGAAATCTTACTTATCCAACTCCTGGCAAACAGCCATATTTTTGAGATCTGTGAGGATGACTACCCACGGTTGGTGACCGACGCCCGCGATTATTGATGAACTTTGGACTTGGCAAATGCTCCCTTTTCCCGGGTGTAAATTGCCGGGGGGATTAGTAATCTCGCCCCGGGCTAACGCCCGGAACGGCGCTCCGCCCCGTTGGCCCGGAGATGAATCCCTTCTTTAACTTTAAATCATCATCGCGTGTCTTTGGAGCATATCCTATATACGCAATGTGAACGCAACTCCCTTAGGAATACGTACGTAATATTTGTGGTCCAGGATGATACGAGTTGCGTTGAGATTACTTAGTATATGCTCCAAAGGGAAAGATATGATGATTATAAAGTTAACTGGAAAAAAATTCATATATATATATATATATATATATATATATATATATATATATATATATATATATATATATATATATATATATATATATATATATATATATATATATATATATATATATATATATATATATATATATATATATATATATATATATATATATACATGCATGCAGTAACCCATATACATGCATGCAGTAACCCTCGCCTTGATGACAAAACCATTGTATTTCCGAACATGAAATATCTAAAGTTGTTCTGATGGTAGCACGATAGTTTTTTAAGAATATTCTTACAAATGAAAAATCGCCTAAAAATATCACTTTTCATTACAAAATTGTCAATTTCCCAACATATACATGTTAGATATGATATTAGTATAGGTAATAGCATGGTTTCGAGTGCAATTTGGATATAACATGCACGAGTGAGTTTTTCAAAGACCTCAAAATAGCACTAGTCCGAAGGACGAGTGCTATTTGAGGTCTTTGAAGAACTCACGAGTGCATGTTTATCCAAATTTCACGAGAAACCATGCTATTACTTATTAATAATTTACATAAAAATGTTCGAGACAATTGTAGTTTTAAATTACGCGTTTATAGCGA